CGCGTCTGGTGCATCCTCGACCAGCACCACTGGGCCTGTGGTCGTCCAGTTCGGCTTGCGACACGGCTTGGCTGCTCCTTCTCCAGGCATGAAAGTGAGCAATCTCATTGACTGCTCATCGCACTCCTCTTGCGAGTAGCCCATCGCCCCTAACCTCTGCGCGACGAGCTTCACGACCGTCGTCTCATCGAACGGGTCTGAGTTCGCCATGTTCTCCTTGATATAGGCCGCCAACACCTGCTGACATCTCAGAACGTTCACTCTGACGTTCCTCTCATAGCCCTCGTCTGCCGACGGCTTCCACCTTCCAATCATCCTCCTGACATCTTCTGGGATCTGTGCTGCTTGAGCCCAAGTGCGTATCGTCGCACGCTCGCTGTGCTCCGTCCACATGATCCCCATGCCAGGCTCCAATAGTGTCCTCCTCTCATCACCTGTTCCCGTCTTGATCTCATTGAAGAGGGCCTGTGACATAGTCGACGCGATTGGGTAGTCGACCACCTTCCTGACGAAGCCCGTCAGCTCGCGGTTTGGCCACGGGAGCATGAAGTCACGAGACGACATGCCTGCCTCTATTCCCATGGCGCACCATATCATCATACAACCATGCCTCCTTGTTGACATAGAAGGGAAGGTGCGCAATCTTCTTTCCAGGGCCCGAAGTTTTGGACCGATCGATGATCCCTTTCATCCCCCATTCTCTCATCTCCAATGTGCCACTTGGCGCCCCCTTTGTGTCGTCGAAGCGCATGCCCGTCCATAGCTTCACCAGGCGAAACCATGCATAGATGCGGGAGTAGTTGGACGCTGACTCGTCCAGCACATGATCCTCCCATGCCACGATAACAGCGACGGGCAGCAGAGCGGCCTGCCTCTTCGCTGTCTTCTGTTCGATGGCCTGCAACCGATGCGATGCTTCTTCCAGGGCATTCTTCACTGCAGCCGAGCGGCAAATCTGGTCCTGTTCCGGCACTTCACCTGCGTGCTCCAAGAACATCAAGGTCTTGTAGATGGACTCTGGAAAACTGCGTGCGCAAGGCTCCTCAACCATCGCCTCCAGGAACTCTGCAAACTGCTCGGGCGAAGCAGGCCACTTGCAGTTGAACGCAGCATCCATCCACCTTGCCGCCTTCATCCACGTTTTGACGTGCTTGCGGAGCGTGTTTGGTCTCCTGCCTTTCGCCACCCGTATCAGCAGCGCCTCGTCCGAGGATCTCACAGCCACGGGTAGCCGGGCCGACTTGACGATTGACCTGATCTCCTTGAGCCATCGTTCTCGCTCTTGTCGTTCCGCCAACTCCCGAAGCGCTAGGTCAGAGGAGGCGATGTGCAACTTCATGCTAAGACGTGTTGGCCACCTTCCTCTCTTAGCTGTACCCACCAATTCCACTTTTGCCTTGGTATCCTCGGCTACATAGGTACTGAAGGTCTTCTGCCTGACGGCCCGCTGATGGCTCACGTGCGCTTCAAGCAGATCCGCACCTCCTCTCTTCGCATCCAGCATGTGCCTCGTGCGTGCCCTGTCGTTTGCACGGGCCACTACATCGCGCAGCACGCTCATCTCTATGGTGCACTCTGCGTCCAGCTGTTGCAGCTTCCAAATGACGGCCTCCAGGAGCTCACGCTTGCCACCATGCAACGTAGCAAGTCTGGTGACCGTCCAGCCACCCTGCTCCAGGAGTCTGATCTCCTTGGCAGGCATACCTGCCAAGGAGCACAGCAACCCGAGCTCATCGGATTGCTCCATGGCGGCGCAGCTTGATCCCCTTCCTTGCAAAAGGGGCGGTCTGAGCCGCGACACTCGAAAGTCGCTACATGACAACCCGTGTCCTAAACGGACAGCTAGTCATATATATATGTATATTATATGCTGCAAGTAGTGGCAATGGTCTGCAGCACCTCAGACTCAGTCAAGTCGACCTTCTCCTGCACTCTCCCGCAGCAAACAAAGTTCATTGAAAGGCACATCCTTTAGACTTTGAGACTCTGCTTACACAAGAATATGGATGGCTTGCCACAGTGTTCTGGTGGCCTTCTATAGAATGCATACATGGAACAGCATTGATTGTTGACTGTATGCAAAGGTTGCTTCCACAAAGGGTTACTTCTGGCTTCTCCTCCTTTGCCAGCTTGCGTCGCAGGTCTGCGACTGGCACACTTTTGCGGCCATCAGCCCATTCCAAAGCACCTCGCTTGAAATAAAAGATTCCACTGGGAAATTGTTTGGTGCGGCCTTGCAGGAAGCAACATAACAAGCAACCCTTTCCATCCATTTCCGAAACCACAGATCTCTCATGTCTTTCACAGCTGATGAGTTCCTTCTTCCGCTTGGTATTTATTGAGCATAAATCAAATCAATCATAGATTGTCATCTTAAATCTTAATGTCTCACATGGGGACTCAAGTGGCAGTCTTCAATTGTGCTTCCCAGCTACTCAATATTGGAGACAGCCAAAATCAGTGGAAACACAACATGAAGCCGCAAAGGTAAGTGGCGTTCGTTGCTGTTTCTTCTCTACTTTTCCCTTGTGAATATGTTGTACAATTATCTCTTCCCAGCAATGTGGTCAGCTTTAATCCACTGCACAGCCCATTGTACCAACTGCCGCCGGAGCTGCGTGTCTCTCTGCGTTGCTGTTTTTGCTCTTCTTCCAAGGCCAAAGCTTCAGCGCGAATCCGTGCAGCTTCCTGGCTTGGCTGCTTGGGAGCTGCTTGCTAGCGATGTGCTACTCCTTTTTTCAGTCGACCCCATGAATGTATAAAACAATATTATCGGTTTGGATGATGACGTTCTGCTCAATAAAACATGTGGTGTTCAGAACAAGGATATTCTGCTGAAGTTGGCTTGGCATGGCAAGCAATTGAAAGTAACATGCTTTCAGTCAAATATTTGTTGTTACGCGCACCAATCACGTGGCATCTCAATTGTATAGCTTGTGTCTAGTACTTTGTAATACTTTGTAGTGCAAAGTGAAAAGGAGGGAGGGGCGACTCCGATGCAGCAATGTGCAAGTCTAAGTCAACTTAAGGAATGAACGCACAACGAACAAATCAGCTCTTTGGAAGTCAAGAATGACAAACGACAGGTCCGACACATGAGCTTCAAACAGAGTTACTGTATCACTAATGCAAGTACATGTTTAGATAAAATGCCAAAGAAACCTAAACTATACAGCACAAGGAACCCCAGTGGCTGCAACAAAGCTAACTGTTGAACATGCAAAGCTGGCCTTCCAAAAACTATCTGAATGTTAACTATTGATTTATACAGTTACATGTAGCTTCTGCTTCTTGTCGGACCCTCCTTCTCCAAGTCTGAAGGATTAGCGCGACGACGCAGCTGGCAGGCCTCAACTTCAGTGTGCAAATGCTCCAAACTGACATGGAAAAACATACGCTGTCAATACCAAAACCTGTTTGTCACTTTCAGCTCCCAAGTGTTCAATCACTTCTGGTTTCATACATTGTAATATAATGAGTTGCTATTAAGAAACATATTAACAAAAAAGTAAACATTCACTTGTCAACTGTCAACATGAATACCAATGTTGGGAAGGAATACAGTACATGAATGACACAGCAAGACTAACGTCATCTCAGGACCAGTTGGGAGTCCCAGCACGGAGTTGGGCGAAGCCGAAGGCCGAGAGACCGCTCACCTCATCATACGAGCAGAATCTTTCAGCAGCAAACACGCAAAAATAAAAAGATATTAAACAAGGAAGGTAGGGTGTTAAATCCCTTTTAAAGGAGGCTTTACCGTGCTGTGTTCATGTTGTATTAATTATTTTGCATGCATAATGTGTATATAACATATGTATGTATATTACCATTCTTTTTATTGTAGCCATAGCCTCACATAAACACCTCTCCCATATGTTTCTTTTGCCACCCTGTGCAACCTTCTGAGTGTTGGGGTTCAGGAAGAGTGTGGGTGGAACTCCTGGAAACAGAGCTTGCGGAACTATAAACGACTTCAGCAAGAAATCCTGTTGTTCCTTTTTGTCACACTCTAAAAGAGATAGAAGTGCAATCTTCGGCTAGAAACTTGATCCAGTTTGTTTCAATATGCAATCTGCCTACGACATGTCCTACAGAGTACTTCCACAATAAACTTGAGTTCTGGTAGTCACAACACAAACGGCAAAGAGTATTGTTTTCTTGAGCTTCCCGACCACGGTGCTCTTCGAAATCTCAGCCCTCGATCTTCTCGAAGGCCCTCATGTTTTCACAAATGATTGAACCCACAAGGTGACGCATCATACAAAGCAATTGCGACAAGGATGCTAATACAGCTATCCCTTGTGTTTAGCTCATGCTTGAAACTTGAACACTGAAATTTATACTAACTCTTGACTGTGTCAGGACATAAACCTACAAGGTCGATTGCCAAAGTGAAGCCCTGCACGGCACTAGGCTGTGTGGTTGTCAAGCTGCTCGAAGGAACAGCAGCAGGGGTAGGCTGGAAATCACGGACATCTGCGGGAAAACCTGGCAGTTTTGGCCGTGCTCATCCACGTTCTTGGCGTTCCCGTATGTTCCCGTGCCAAACATGTGTAATTAGCTACTATTACCCTACGTTCTGCTATATTTACCCGTAGACAGGTTCGAGAGCAGTTTCCAGCGGTCTTCCCGATCTGAAGTGAAGCGTTACAGCATGAGTTTTGGTCTCTCAGCAGTCCCTTGGCGGCCTATGTACGGCTCCATGTTTGCCGAACCAAGCTAGATGGCTGCGATACACAGCTCATCAACCATCCAACTCTCCAATCCAAAACGCTGTCATCTCAAACGTGAGAGAAAACATGAGAAAACAGCACTATCCTCCGTGTTGCGACACGTATTCAAGAAAAGGCGCACACGCACCACACACACACACACACTTAGCATCTTGAACTTGAACCCTAAGCTTGGTGGCAACAGTACTTGACAATTTGCCTATGACACGCCAGGGGATGCTAAAAACGTGATCTGTCTATACCACAAGCACATGAGGCTCCAGCCCGTTTGCCATGCAGTTCAGCACAGTGAACAAAGGACCACCATCTTCAGCATCCCATGGAATTTCCTGAGTTTGACAACCAGATCCTCCGCTGCCCATTTAGTTGGATATTCATGGTACTCTCGCCTTTGGCGGGAAGTCTGTGCACTTTTAGCGCACCATGATACAACCAAAGACCCTAACAAATATAACTGGTTGCTTGAAATTGCTTGAATGTCTGTGCTTAAAAGGCACACCTCTAAAACTTCCTTTGATGTCCTAAATAAGGGATCGAATTTATCAAGATTTCGTAATGTATTGTGTCTTCTGCCACATCGAACTTAATTTGCATGGGTGTGGAATGATTCCTTGCGCGGACATAGTCATGTTGCACACTTGGACTGGTCCTTCAATGTCCTTTCATGTTCTTTGTGCATGGGTCGGCTGGCTCGTACTGTATGTCCATCAATCCGGAGCAACAAGTTGCTGCCGGGCAACACCCATCAAAGCCATGTTTTGCAAGGATAACCGAGGGGCTTTGCCGCAGGACAAAGAAGAGAGCTGCCATCAACTCTAGGCAACATCTTCAAAGCTTCCGTACAAATCCGTACAGGAGTTCTCGCAAATATTCTTATATATATATGTATATAAGTAACTCATAAGTAACTCTTAAGTCAGCAGGTCCAAGCTGCAAATGCAAGCGTTCGCTCATCCAACCAATGCCTGCAGGTGAAAGAATACATGACTTGTATCACTGACATTCAAAGAGTGCAATCACATCTGGCACTCTATCTCTGAACTCCAAATGGGTATCCAAAATCAAACAGAGTCCACGTTTGCCTAGCTACCGTGGCTGCAGGATCTTCTTGGCCTGGGAAATCAGCTTCAATTCCTTGGATAAACAACAAAACTAGCCTCAGGGCAATGACATGCAATGACAGCCCACCATCATTCAAGAATTTACACTCCGTGACGGACTGGCTTTTACCGTCTTGCGAACAGCTCGAGAGCAAAATTCAGCATAGCCACCCCCAAGGGTAAGGAGATGAGGGGTGCCTGCGCACTGCCGGCTGCGCAAGGGGTTTCTTAGCTGTGACTTCCGGGTGCGACCCCGAGTGTGACAAATGACTTAAAGCTGTGTCGTGTTTGTTCGTTGTGGATTGAGTTTGAGCAGGAGGTGAAGAAAGGCCTCATGAGAACTCTCCATGGCTTCGAGGGGAAGAAAGCCGTAGGTGGCCCACAGCTCAGGCGATGAGAAGTCGCTGTAGCAATGGACCAACTCTGAACCTGAGGGTCAAGTGATGTCAAGCGTCAAGCTGCAAATCTGACTCAACCAAACTTCATCGCTACAATATCATCAATATCATTGAATATCAGTATCGGTTCAAGCTTAACGAAAGCCATCAGCTTTCCCTCAGCACCTTCAGTAATCGGGCACTCTGCTTGTAGCAAAGCTCCTTCTTGCAGGTTTCCACGAAACCTGGCTGCAACAAGCTGCAAGCGGTCGGTCTGAGCAATCTTCAGAAGTTTGTCTCATTCTCAGCACAGTAAAACAATGGGAGCGTCTCATCGAGCCTTGAACAGCTTGAGGTTCTTGAAATGACTAGTGACTAGTGACGTGTGTTGCTTGCTACTGAATATGTGAGCGCCAGTTGCAGTTCCCCAACCAACAAGTCAAACACATTCAAGTGGTGCTACTCTCATCCGTTGCCAATTGTCACTTAAAATATAGTGTCGAGGTTGAGGTTTGATCGGTTTGATCGGTTTGATCCCTTCCATTCTTTCATCTCCAAGATTCTTGCAGTGCTGGGCTCCCCTGAGCTGTCCACCAGCAATTCCAGGAACCGGTGGATGTCAAAGGTACGAAAGTGTTCAAGAGGTCCTCAATATCTGCCACTAGGCAACAATTATTTTGCCTGTGCAGGATAGAATCACACCCCTTCTCGGAAATCAAACGGAAGGCAGCAACTAGAGTCTAGAGATATTCAAAGGGCAAGCCTAATCAAAGCTGTTTTTCTCGCAAGATTGAAGATTGGAAAATAGAAGCAAAGGTACTATGTTCATGCTTAACAAAGGGTTGGGGAGTCAGGCATAAATTTGTTGTGCTAAGGTTTCACCAGGCCACTATTAGGGGGACTAAGGCGCGAATGACATTGCCCTGGTCATCAGCTAGGTTGAAGGACCTGGGCCAAATCACAAGGCAAAACAACTAAAGCACCAGCAATATCGAAAGCTAGTTCACATGTCACATGGGTGACTTCGGCGACTGACTTTGGTCTCTAGATGGCTCTAGGCTACACTCCTGTGCTGACCTCTTCAAGCTATGCATTCGTGAACTGGTCCAGCCTGGAATCGACTAGCACCAGGGCAGCTTTCATTTCAGGTGATGCGCTCGCCCATTTCAAACGTTCCTGGAAGAAGGTACGAAGGCTTTTTCTTCGACAAACATGTCTCTGACAAAGGTGAAAGGAAGCCAAAGGAAGCAAATGCAAGTGCAAGCAGGTGCTAAGGTTGATCAATGTACAGTATTTGTCTATCACCGCATATCACGACATTCGAGTGGACCGGAGAGTGGTCTTCGTGTTTTTGAACTAAAGCGTTTCGAGCACCTGAGAAGACACACATGGAATTCATTGGAGTTCAACTATATCAAAGAGAGTAGCGTAGCTTTGCTTCTCATATTGCTTGGGTGGGAGCATGCGGGAAAGACCATGAATTCTGCAATTCAACTCACAACTCGCGGCGGAAACAACCGGGAACCTGGAAGATGCGCTGAGCTGACAAGCTACCCTTCAGCAAGTCGTTGACATACCTGATGCTCAGTGCTGCTCGGGAACACCAGGAAATTCAACCGTTACATCTTTGGTCAATACTCACACCCTTGCAAGATGCAACAAGCACCATATGCATGCACTGAAAGTTGCCAAATGAGCCTGGCAAACGTTGCACTTCTTGAGCATTCCACATTTAGAACACAGTGCGAGCTGAAGGCGTCGGTGCCCTACAGCTGAGGTGGTCTATCCAATTCCCCACAAAACAAAGTGAAGTCTGACCCTGGAGTACCACACAGCAATCAAAATTCAACATCCAACATTAACATGCATGTTATGAGCGAATGTGTATGTCATAGAGTGGCTGCATCGTCATGCATCGTCTTGACCTAAGGAGGTAGTGTGGTGGCAGTGGGGGTAGCGGTGTTTGTGACACTTGGCATCAGTTGTAGCGAGTACTGTTGAAGGTCGCAGCGGTAGTGCTACTCAGAACTGACATAATGTCTTCAGGGTGATGCAAGTGACCTCCCAAAAGTCAAGCGGATCAGCCAGAAGTCTTTTTCCACCAAAGCAACTTATATAATTGGCGAGCAGCCCAGCACACGCAGAACACAATGGCATATGATCATAATCAATCAAAGGCATCCTGAAAAACAATGTTGGTAAACAACATATTAAGGTCGAGCCAACAAATTCAACCACAACACATGGTAGGATTGTGTGTGTGGAGCAGCAGGGAAGCCGTTATTTTTTGAATACTGCACAATACTGCCAATCATTTCACAAAACGCTGCTCATATGAAGAAAGCTGCCGACTACATCGGAGCCTTCAGCTCGCTCACTTTGTGTACACAAGCACAAAAGCGATACTCTGCCTTTTCTGCAAGCATGGGACAGGATGCATTTCCACTGCTATGATCTACGAAGACAAAGTCACTTTAAGGGGCGGCCGCTAAACAGTTTTTGTTTTGTTTGTTTTGCGTAGCCACGACACTCCATTTGTTGAAGCTCAGCTGGCCACTGCAATGGGTGAAATGGTGCCACATCCTCCAAATTACCAAAGATCCAAAACTGAACTTCAAGGACACATCAGTCATTATTTGGATTCAAGCTTGGAACGTCCAGCAGCCGAGTTCGATTGTTGGAACAAGTTAAACATGATTATCCAGCAAGAAATTGGAGCGTTTCTCTGGCTCTGAAGTTCAGAGCTGTCTTAGTCCTTGTCTTCTGGCAAGGAGTCCCAGTATGGTTTGAACCTCAGCTAGAATGGACATCTCCATGAGATGCTACTTGAATTGAAGAGATGGACACCTCCTTCGCTACTTGCATATTTCCCTGGAGTATGGCACCGCTCGGCAGACTTGTAGCTTTGATCCACCATTCTCGCCAACTTGTCTAGCCAAGGCGCGGAGAACTTGGACTTGACCGTTCTCGCCTAAGCGCAAGGAACAAGGAACAAATCACTATATAGAATCTATAAAGACCGGCATGGATTTGAGATGACTTATAAAGTATCAACAAGCTTACAGCAACTGTAACTTTTAGTACAAACACTCTAATTACTTCTCACTTTCAAATGCTGAGTGATGGTGAAACATGATACCAGCGACCACAGTTTGCGGTCAATTGCGCAAGCAATGCAAAATAATGCTTCTCGCTCATCCCCTGAGTGCAATAGTCAATCCCCTGAATGTACAATGTCTATCCCACTGATTCTGAGTGTAGGTATTCAGTCCACAAAGGGCAAGTAGAGTGAGTTGTGGAAACAATATGTTTTGAAGCCTAGAGCAACTGGCCAACAGAACTTCTTCAGCCAACCAGGATTTCTGGCGGCTTTGCGCGCGTAAGGCATGCCACAAGGCTAAACAACTTGATAGAAGTTGGCGGGGCTTAGCTTGGCTTCCGCACAAATATGCTTCAGCTAATGACTCTGCTCCACCATCACCTGTGCCAAGGTCTTCATGGGCTGCTTGGTGGCCGCTGAAGCCACAGGACCCATGTGTCGACATTATGGGTGAAATGGACACAGGTAGTCAGAGTCAGCCTGTCCTTTTGTAACTTGCAGGATCTTATATAATATGTAAGTACTTAATGGATCTTAATGGTGTACCTCAACTTGTAACCGCCCCGTCCCTTCTGGGAACTTCCGCGAAGCACAAATGCTTCTACAAACTTCGGAACAACTTTAAATCAACCTCAGAATATACCTTCTGCAAACCCCAGGTCTAAAAGCAAACAGCATTCTTCAAACCAGTACAAAATACCCGATTGGTATGCCAAGACTCAAACGTTACTTTCTCTGATTCCCTCACAACACAATACAGCACATTTCTTGGAACAGTGAGCAAAAGGAACTTTTGCCTGATTTTTTTTATAATTGGACAGCTATAGGACCAAGGATTGTAGCATATTGTAGCAAAATGTTGGTCAGGCCTGAAAGTAATAGAGCTTCTCTTGGCACCCGACCTGATATGCAAGCAGAACATCACATCACAAGTAAACATGCCAGCTTGCTGATGTGTTGTAGTATATACTGTATCAGGCTTTAATGTCAATATCACTCGGAGAGCTGGTCAAGATGCCGGTGGTTCGAAGTTCTCTCTGTGATTGTGCATCCAAACCAATTTGAACGACAATAATCCTGCCAGCACTACTGCAAGGTTCACAAAACCGACACGAGGGACACGAACACCAACAGCAAGGAATTGATGTGCAACCTACGAATAGTAATAACCAAATTCATACACAGACGAACTACGGACGCAATTATTTGTGATGTGTGCCTATGACACCGAACATGACTTCCAAGACTGCTCAAAAGAGATTAGTGATAACAACGCAAGGACTCTATCATGCTCTATCTGTATCTAAGGGCATCACACACCAGCTCACCTGCAGCGAAATCTTTGGCTGCAAACACGCCAAGTCCTGGTCGAAAATGCACGACCTCGCAAAAACCATATCGGACTTAAACGTTGTCCCCTATTGTGGGAAAACTACAAGTCTATACAAGTCTCCTTACAAAGTATGTCTCCATTGCTGTCTGTGCATGCACCCCGCCCCAAGTACATTCATGTGCTATGCAGCTCAAGCCAACCGGGGACTGCCTCCAGCTTCGTAGGTACCTCACCCCCGCCGCTGAGTCTCGTGGAAAAACAACGTTTCAATCTTCAGCCAAATCAACCATTAAGTTGTATATATAGTCAATGGGCCGACATGGCCTGTACCACACTTCAACCTTATTCCGCCACAGAACATGTCACAGCCATTGCCTTGTGAACAAACTTGAACAAGCTGCTATGAAACCACGGTACTTTGACCAACGCGCAGGCCACCAAGACCTTCCACGCCTGGGATATCCTGACAATGTTACGCAATCGCTCTTGATCTTTCTTATTGTCAACACATATTCTGTTGAACAGCAAGCAGCAACGGCGATGTCTGTCACAACACAAACATCACGCATGATGTGGCAAGTGTTTTTTGGGATCCATCAAACAAGCGACGCGTCTTTGAACTGTATACAGCACTGACAAGCAGCAACACTCTCGATGTAATTACATAAATACTCTTTTTGTTTTTTAGAGTCAGGATTGTTATATCTCAACTGTAAATGTATGTTTGCTGCACAAGAATCCTGACAAAACATGACAAAACTACTTACTGTAAATGCTGTTGTAAATACTGGACCAAAAATGGCCAACGTTCTTCAGCACCATTCTTGAAAGAAGACTTCTGCACCTGCAGCCACTCCAGAAGAGCTTCACAAAGCCCCCGCGAATGACGAGCAAACGCGACGAGGCGTTGCTTTCCACGCCTGCCCAATGATCACTCTGAACGACCCAAAGGGATCTCAAATGCTTGCATTGACAAATTCACTTGCCCAACCGCAAGTCAAACTTGTCCAGCTGAATGATATGACATCAATTCAAGACCCAATAACTATAATAACACAATGACTTCTTTGGCTGATGACGCCCGCTGCGTACAACTGCTGCTGGACAAGCCTTTGGTAAACCACAACGGGGCACACTGCTGCTAGCAAGCACCGCGGGCCGAAGCCAAACCTGCAAAAAAACACATGCTGGCTGGGCTGAATGGCAAATCCGACTCCATTTCACCTTCACAAGTCACATGATTCTGCGATTCTAATGTTGTTAATTTATCTCGCACCTACAAAAACCAGTGACTTCTGGCTCTGCAGCTGTGCCATGGCCACACCATATTGCGGCTTGCGGTGTACAGCACGTCCGTACACAACGAAGCTACCGTATGACAAGGGAGGGGTGGACTGATCATCGTCATCGTCAACCTGTACCTGCCTTTTTGACCTGCTCAGACTTGAATCTAAGCAAAGGCATTGCTGTCTCATGTGGTGTTTGGCACTAAAGGGCTAATGACTTCATCTCACTCATATTTCAACTGCCAAGTGCTCCATCGAGCTTTATCCTGAGTTTGTGAACAAGATTGGCTGCCAAGCAACGGCTTCCTGCCAAAGTGGAACGTGCGGCTGCTGGACGTTGTTTTGGAATTGGTGCGCCATGGAAGAACACCATCCACGCACAACATCACTCTGGACTGAGCATCTTTGACTAAACCAGTAGCAACAATAATATGGTTGACGCTGCAACATTCCTCGTGATTTCTCTTCAAGGAAAAATCCAGTACTAGTAGGTGACATGAGAAACACAAACACAAAAAGCATTGTTTCCTGAAGCGGCGTTAGTTGACCTGTGTTCGGCGCTGTGCTTCTGAAATGAGAGCTGGGGGTGTCACGAAATTCAATGAGCAGCGAGAGTGCCCATTGCACTCCTTGACCTGCTCAGCCTTGATATTTTGTGGCACGATGTGGCATGTCTGTTTGTGCTGCCGCAGGCTCTTGTGTTGCTTGGCCGACAAACTCCATCCAGCTGACCGATGGGGTTCTTTCTTCACAACATCGGTGTTTTTCAAGAGAACCAGTTGAACTTCTTGACTGTCATGCGCTCTGTGCTTTCATATCAAACAACAATATCCCTTTCATAAGCAAAGTCCGTGGCTTTATCTTACAGGGCAAAATCACAAAGTCTTAAAGAGTCTTACGTGACGAGCTAGTGTCAATCTGATCCCAAAATCTTGCAGTTTGGTCCACTGTCGGTCAAAGCGCCGGGCGTCAAATGGCCGCTACACTTGCACATATCTTGTGCAAGTCACAGTCACCATTATGGACATAGGAAGCATAGGAACAGTGTCGCTTAGGACACTGGTCCAAGAAGCATGGAGCTTTCCAAATAAACATATGTCAAATGTCCATTACGTCCATGCCACCTGCTTGTCTTTCAACAACTCTAACAACATAGCTTGTTGCTTCCAACCTCAACTATGCTGTCGGGTCTCGAGGGTATAGAACCGGAGTGTATTCCTCCAGCGCACCCTGCATACCCACTACATCAAAGAAGACGTCTGCCGGGTCACCCTAATGGAGAGCATTCCAGCACAGAGTCTGTCTGGGCAATGGTCAATTGATGTTTAAAGTCCAGGCTGTCAGACTGTCAGAGGATGTGTTGTACGCACAAGCATAAAAAGTACCTGCCTTGACCAGTCAAAGCCACAACAAACATGGCATGCCTACCAGTATCAATGAGTCCCAAAAGTGTGTGGTAGGCTGAGACAGGCCTGTTCATTGCGTGCCCATGGGACTTTGTGTGTGTGTGTTGCCCTTCTTTCAAGAACAGTCGGTGTCTGTGTTCAATCCCACAAAGAAAATCAATAGCACATTGTAAGAGTCTTGCCGTCATTTGATCGGCTTTGAGCATAATTTGCTCCATGATCACTACTCCCTCACCCCCCGGGGGGGTCAAACATGTAGCTTACAATTTTGGGTGTGTCAAAATGCAGGTTTTGGAAAACTTGATTTTTGAACATAATTACAGGTCTAAAATACCTCCATCTGACAAGACAGTGGTCAAAATTGTAAGTTACATGTTTGACCCTGATGTGTTTTTGTTGAGCCTGTACGC